CTGCGCACCTACGCCAGGTTTTCGATCGTCTTCAGCAAAATGGTCTACAGCCGAACATCGACTAGTGCCTTTTTGGCGTCTCTTCTCTGGATTTCCTTGCCCATCCTGTTGACCAACATGGAATCACCCCACTTTCAGAGAAAGTGCAAAGTGTGTTGCCTTTTCCGGCACCGTAATTTATTACCCAGCTCTGCCGTTACGGCGTGATCAATTATTACCGGCGTTTTATACCAAATTGTGCCGCTTGTCTGGCTCTTTTGACGGATTTTTTGAAGTCAAAGACCAAATCGCTGCACCTTTCACTCGGCGCTCTTGAAGCATTTTAGGCATCCAAGAAAGCACTCGCGGATGCCACTATGCTCCATCCCCTGAGCACTGATGACTACTCGCAACTTATTCTTACCACTGACGCCTAGAACATTGCTGTCGGAACAGTCCTGCATCAACAAGGGAACAATCAATTACAACCACTGGCTTTCTTCTCGCAGAAGCTACAGCCAGCAGAGACCCGCTACAGCACTTTCTCACGCGAACTTCTAGCTATCTACCTAGCTATCCGACATTTTCACCACCTACCAGAGGACAGAGACTTCTAGGTCCACATAGATCAAAAATCTCTCACTTATGCCTTCAAGGCCAAGCCGGATCGGTACTCGCAGCGGGAAGTGCGTCACCTCGACTATATTTCGCAGTTAACCGCTGACATACGCTTCGTTCGCGGCAGTGACAACGTTGTCGCTGACGCATTATCCTGCCCAGATATCAACACCCTTAACATCACGTTCGACCTAACGAAGCTAACAGAATCGCAAGCGCTTGATGACTCCATCATTGAAATGTGTGCGTTTTATTCGATTCAGCTTCGCGATGCTCCCCTCCCAGTATCTCCAGGGACGATCGTTTGCGACTGGTCAACGGGTACTTCTCGTCCTGTTGTGCCACAGTCCTACCGTAAGGTTGTGTTTGATTATTTCCACTCTTTGTCCCACCCCGGCGTTCGCGCCGGTCGCAGGCTCATTTCGGCCCGTTTCGTCTGGCCAAAGATGAACGCCGACTTCGCGCTTTGGAGTAGGCAGTGCTTAGCTGCCAAAAGAACAAAGTACAGCACCATACGATTTCCACTCCGAGCACCTTTGCAATTCCCGACGCACGTTTTCACCACGTCCAACTGGACATTGAATTGAACTGAATCCGCGTGGTGTGAATTTTTGAGCAAGACGAAGACACATTTAATTCAAGTTTTTACACTGAAAGAAATTGTGTTCAGACAAAAATTGGATCAAAAAACGCATTGCTTTTTACGATCCTCCGTCCAATTTCCTTCGATACCCCCACTGTTCGACCAGGAAATTTTCTCCAAATCCAGCATCATGCTGGAAATATTGGCTTGGCCTACACAGTCTACCTGTCCAAATCAATCTCGTCAGGGCTTCTGAGGTGTATCTGCGGAGAGGCTGAGTCGTTAATTTATATACTGCTTGTGTATAATTACTACATACACACAGATTAGACTATCTCGTTTGTTGTTACCTTTTCTAATCAACCACGAAATCGTTTCTACTAGCATAGACCATATCTAGTTCGACACTATAACCCGCAGCTTGGATATTGGAATAGAAGACTATAATTTTATAATTATAGGCCACCCTATCTTTTGTTATCTTTCCTGCTCTTTTCATTCCAAAGTAGTTCCAAGTAGTAACTATTAGACTACACTATCTCGGTTGCTGCTACGTCTACCCTGACCAACGTCGCAATAGTTTCTACGTATAACCTTTTTAGCTTGACATTATAGCATGGGTAACTTAGAAGTATACGACCCAACTGTCCCGCGTGACAAAAGGCCTAGTCCAAAGTCGGCGTCGATCCGCCGACCTGCGACTTAGGGGGCGAGCGTCTAAGCCACTCGGCCATTACAAACGAGCTACGTGAGTCACAGAAAGTTAAGTGCATTGACAGGAGTGACACAATAAATTCCACCAACGAACTCCTTGACTAAGCTGTCCCCCGTGACAAATAGTGCGACATGAGAGGCAAGGGTATAAACCCTGCGGCTACCATGACCACCTGGCAGAAGCACAGAAAGTTAAGAGCATTGACACTAATGACACGCATTGCTCGACGACATGCAAACATTGCAAACATTACCCAAAAATATCAAAGTTAGAGTCACGCATGGATATAATAGTTGGTATTATCACATATTTTCTCAGGCATGACAAATTACAGCCGCTGGATGAAACCAGTGGAAATCAGCAGCTAGAATCCGCATTGACGGAACTAGATACCAGGCACCAGCCAATCGGTCCAAGCGCGACTAAAACAGAGGAGAAGCATACACAAACAAGCCCAAACCTACTGTCCCGGTAAAGCCCAGATCCTAGGATCATCAAAACGGCCAGGAGAAGAGGGAAGCGTCTACCTGACGAACCAGCCTCACCCTCTTCACTGGTCAGAACTAGTAAAACCGCACGAAAGGGGACCGGAGAAGAGCCGGGAGAGGCAGAGGATACAGCATTTGCACCGAGATAGCTGCGATCCGGTGCAAACAAAGGAACTGAAGTGAAGGCTGCCGCGGAAAAAGATACGAGGGTGCCCATACTTACAGTTAAGGCCCCCATACATGACCAATCAGTCACAGTTGAGGCGA